TATTGAGGGCTCGGCTTGTGACAGCTGTTTCACGTATCATGGCCTCATTCATGGCAGAAAGCTTGAAAGTCATCTGGTTCCTTTCCACGGTGGAGGAGCCCCTCCGAATGTCCAGGTCGTCGACCGGTCTCTGCCTGAACGCCTCGTGGGAGAGAGGACAAGCTTCATTGAAAGGAAGGAAAGTGAATGGGCTCCTACATCAAACAAACCCAAGTCCTAATCTGTGCCCTTGCGTTACTGGCTTGGTGACTTTGGGTGAATAACAAGCCTCTGGAAGGTCCCTTTTCTCATCTATAAGATGGTTTGATTGGGGGTTGAGGGAGAAAGTAAAGATGCCAAAGGCCAAGATTGCTATAGAATTAAATGAGCTCACACACCGTTCTTCACGAGTGATCCGTTTCACTTGGAGACGGCTCTGATAGGAACTTATAATTTACCTCGCTGCGTTTTCCACCCATTGACACTGTTTTTACCTCAATTTCTCTTTCCCAGATAGGTTTCCAAGTATCCAAAGACCATAAGCCTCCAACTTCCAACCTGACACCTTCTCACCCACCCCCGCACTTAACTCACATCTTCCACCCTCCTGGATAGGGCTCTTCATTTCCCTCAACTATACTTCACGGCAGTGCTTCCCAAACTTCTGTATGTGGTACCCTCCAGGGACATGATGAGATGTGCCCAGTGCTGGGCTGGATGGATGAGGCTGCTCGGAACCCACAGGTTTCACACCGTCTCTCAGAGGAACCCTGTGGGGCTGAGCCCACCCGCCTGCTGCAGTGACCTACTCACCAGGCTGCCCTGGCGGCATCCCTCCCTGATCATGCGTGCGGGGACCACCTCCCCAGAAAAGCCATTTGCACCCAAATTCCTATCACATCCTAGTAAATATTGAGTACCAAAAAAAAAAAACTGGCAATACGGTAATAAAAATAGTATGCAAGCAAAGTAAACCTTTATTCATCAAGCTGTTCTCCAAAGCATATATCGATCACTAAGGTCAAAGAAGTGTCTTGGAGGGATGGGTAGAGCTCAATGGTAGAGCACGTGCCTAGCACGCACGAGGTCCTGGGTTCCATCCCCAGTACCTTCACTAAAAAATAAATAAACAAACAAACAAACAAACAAACCTGATTACCTCCCTCCCTAAAAAAGTGTCTTGCACTGATGTACTTATCTACAAAACAGAAGCAGACTCTAGTAAACAATCCTGTGGTTACCAGGGGTCTAAGGGGGTGGGAAGGGATAAATTGGGAGTTCGAGATTCGCAAATGTTAACTACTATATATAAAATAGATAAGAAATCAGATTTCTTCTGTATAGCACAGGGAACTGTATTCAGTACCTTGTAGTAATCTATAATGAAAAAGAATATGAAAAGGAATCTATGTATGTATATGTGTGATTGAAATATGATGCTGTACACTAGAGATTGACATACTGTAACTGACCATACTTAAGTTTTTTAAAAAACTTTTTTAAAAATTGTCTTGATTAATTAATGAGGGTAATGGCTCAAATTCTATACTTCACTTTGCATGTGGACGTAGTGTATTTTAAAAGCATTTCCAGACTGAAAACATCTTTTTTCATAGCTAAAGAACTAGGCTGTAAAAGATTTAATGACTTCCAAGATCACATCTTTAATGGTAGAAGTACAAATAGTTAATATTTATCGAGCATTTACTATATGCCAGGCCCTGTGTTAAGTGATTGGCGTCACTCCACTAATTGTAGCAACAGTTTTATATTATGTTCGAGGTGTTGTTATACCCGCTCCACAAATGCAAACATTGACACTTAAAGAGATTGGCTTCAATTCTGCATCAATCAAAAATCAAAGAGAGAAGTTTTGAACTGGCAAACGGAGAAGCTTTGGCAGGATAAATTGTTTTTACCCTACAAAGTGTTATTCTAATAGTGGTTACATATACACCTGCAGTGAAGAGGAAGACGGGGGCAGGTAACCCCATAATAAAACAACAACAAATTACCCCTTTCCTCCACAGTTTACGAAGAACATTTTTTATTGCAGTATGGTTGATTTACAATGTTGTGTTAGTTTCTGGTGTATAGCATAATGATTCAGTCTTATATATATACGTATATAGATACATATTCTTTTTCATATTCTGTTTATTGGTTATTACAAGATATTGAATATGTTTCCTGTGCTGTACAGTGGGACCTTGTTATGTATCTATTTCATACATAGTAGTGTGTATCTGGAAGTCTTGAACTCCCAATTTATCCCTCCCCTTCTTCCCCTCTGGTAACCATAAGTGTGTTCTCTATGTCTGTGAGTCTGTTTCTGTTTTGTGGATAAGTTCATTTGTGTCCTTTTTTAAGATTCCACATTATAAGTGATATCACATGATATTTGTCTTTCTCTGTCTTACTTACCTCACTTAGTATATATCTCTAGGTCCATCTATGCTGCTGCAAATAGCATTATTTTCTTATTTTGT